CCCAGGGCGGAATTGGAGGTCGGAGATCCCATATAAGTCACTTCAAAGTAGGGGCTATATGAGGGGTTGGGCTCGGCCTCTTTTCAACACAGAGCGGGCTCTATCGGGAGGTAGCGGCGACCCTCCCCTGTTCAGAGCAGGGCCATCAGGGGGTTGGGTGCTTCTCCCTGTCACTCCACAGAAGAGGGCCGGTCAGGAGGTGAGGGTGCTGCCCCCTGTCAACTCACAGAGCAGGGCAGATCAGAAGGGTTGGGGGCGCTGCCCCCTGTCACTCACAGAGCAGGGCCCATCAGGGGGGTTGGGGCTCCGTACCCTGTCACACACAGAGCAGGGTCGATCAGGGGGTTAGGGAGCTCCCCCCTGTCATGCACAGAGCAGGACCCATCAGGGTTGAGGAGCTCCCCCCTGTCATGCACAGAGCAGGGCCGATCAGGGGGTTGAGGAGCTCCCCCCTGTCACTCACAGAGTAGGGCCGATAGGGGAGTTGGGGCACTGCCCCCTGTCACACACAGAGCAGGGCAGATCAGGAGGTTGGGGTGCTGCACCCTGTCACACTCAGGGCAGGGCCAATGGGGAGGTTATGGCTCTCCCCCGTCACACACAGAGCAAGGCCCGTGGAGGGGGGTTGGGGCGCCACCCTCTATCACCCACAGAGCAGGGCCGATCAGGGGGGTTGGGGCGCCGCCACTGTCACACTCAGGGCAGGGCTGATGGGGAGGTTATGGCTCTACCCCGTCACACACAGAGCAGGGCTCGTTGGGGGGGTTGGGGGGGGGTTGGGGCACCGCCCTCTATCACCCACAGAGCAGGGCCGATCAGGGGGTTGGGGCGCTGCACCCTGTCACACACAGAGCAGGGCCCGTGAGGGGGGGGGGGTTGGGGCGCCGCACCCTGTCACACACAGAGCCGCAGGGGGATCAGGGGGATGGGGGAGCTCCCCCCTATCAGGCACAGAGCAGGGCTGATCAGGGGGTTGGGGCACCTCTCCCGGCACGAACAGAGCAGGGCAGATAGGGAGGTTGGGGCCCCCCCCCCTGTCACACACAGAGCCGCAGGGCGATCGGGGGTTTGGGCGCTGGCCCCTGTCACGCTGATCCCGGTGCCGGGAGGATATTACCCTTTTACTATATAGGATAGAGGCCTGGTGCATGGGTGGGGGCTGGCTGGTTTGCCCTGAAGGGTGTCCTGGATCAGGGTGGGGGTCTCCACTGGGGTGCCTGGCCAGGCTGGCTGAGGGGCTGAGGACTGTTTTCCGGCTGGCGGGTGACTGAAGCTCCCAACCGCTCCTTTTTTCTTTCTTTTTTTTTTTTTTATTCTGGGCCAGCTTTAGCTCTGAGGCCTTGCTGCTGAAAACATTGATACAATGTTGCGGTCAGGCTGGCTGAAGGCCAGCCGGTTTCTGGGGTTTTGTTTAGCTTCTATATTTGCAACATAGTTGCTTAGAGTTGCAGCTGAGAGGCCGGCAAGTGTGGGGAACGTTGGAGTCTGCCATCACTGGAGCAAGCAAGCCTCCCTGTTTGCTTCAGTGCATGGCTGCCCACCGCCATCCTGGCTGACAGTTAATTTGCATAAGGATATGCTGATTAGCCAATGGGAAGGGTAGCGGTTGTACGCTAATTACCATGTTTCTCTTTTATTAGTGTAGATATTATTTCATTGGTTTTCCATAACCATTTATCCCCCCCTATATATTTTATTATTCTTAAAAATTTTTTTATACTTTGATTTTTGGAATCTAAAGTTGACAATTCATAAATATGTATTTGAGATTCTAATTGTTCCCTTACATTTCAATTCCTCTTAATCACATTATTTTGGGTTCCTAGACAGCATACTTAAATCCTATTTTTAATAAGTGGGAGTAAAACTCTTCTATTTTAAGCATCTTATAAAGACTGTTTCCATTGGAAGTGAGTTTATCTGTTTATCTTTGAGCCATTATTTTAAATTCCTAGTGTTAATGCTTTACTATGTTTTATTTCAGAAATGAGCAGTATTTAATTGTGAATATCTGTTACTCTGTGACTCTGTTTGTTTTTTTCACCTCCAGAAACTGGCAGAACTAAAACAACAGACTATACCTTTGAAGAAAAAATTGGAGTCCTATTTAGATTTAATGCCGGTAATCATTTTTATGAATTAAAAAAAGATGTCTTTTTTAGTACACACTAAATGATCATGAATATAGTGAATCCATGCTTAAGGATTTAAAGTTCAAGCTGAATTTCAGTGGGTATACCCTCTGTAAGATTTTTGACTTTTAAAAGGATCATTGCATTTTTTCCCCCTTGAGCCCTAAATGAGGTGATATAACCTTTCCTTGTTTTGTTTTCCTTTAAAAGGATCCATCTCTTGCTCAGGTGAAAATTGAAGAAGCAAAGCGAGAATTAGTAAGTCCCATTTTTTTCTTCAGCTCTTAAAAAAGAAATAAAATAAATGCTGATAAGTTAAAGCTCCCTTCATCCTTCTTTCTTCTTCCTCAAAGCTAAACCATAGACCAGCGGTTCTCAACTTGTGGGTCGAGAACAATGAAAATACATCCTGCATATCAGATATTTACATTACGATTCATAACAGTGGCAAAATTACAGTTATGAAGTAGTAACGAAAATAATTTTATGGTTGGGGGTCACCACAACATGAGGAACTGTATTAAAGGGTCTCGGCATTAGGAAGGTTGAGAACCAGAGTTGCTGTGTATCATTCGCATGCATCTTTTAATACTTTTAGCATATGTATATATGTTCTTTTCCACAAAAAGAATACATAGTGGTCTTTTATGTCTTTAAAATTCTTGCTTAGATTGTCTTCGGTGGAAAGGGTGGGCAAGTGAGACATAGAATACTCTAGGCAAAAGGAATTGGCCAATGCTCAAGAGCCAAAAATGGAGGGCTTTTTCAAGTTTAGGGAAATGATGAGGCCCAGCTGCCTGGGAGTATTCAATGGAAGATAGGACTGAAGAAGGCCAATTGGTTTATGATGTAAAGGGCCTTTAGTATAAAGAGGGTGGGTTCTGTAGGAGACCAGGAAAGTTGCTGTTACAGGAAGTTACAATTACGGAAGTACATTGTTTAAGGAGTAAAGGTTAGGAAAATCTACTCCTGTATCATATACTAAATCATCTCTCTAAGGCTTTTCCCCTCTTTAGATGGTGATTAGAATGAAGAGTCTGAAAACTTCTGGGGCTTGGAAAAGGGGAGAGATGTTAAAGGGAATGTCTAAAAGCATGTTTAATATTTATACTAGTAATGTTGTTTTTTTAATTTGTTTTAATGGGGGTTTTTTATTTCCCTTATTTTAAATAGGGGTAGAAATTAGAGCACCTGGTTTCTGTCATTCTTTATAGTATTTTAGGTGTTCTTTCTTCCTTTAGGATACCATTGAAGCTGAACTCACAAAGAAAGTAGACATGATGGAATTGTGACCAGGGCCAAATAAACTTTGTGCTCCCGAACAAAGTAAATTAAATAGGACTTTAATCTTAAGATTAAAAACACCTTAAGAGTAATAAAATATATAGGGGGAATAAATGATGATGGGAAAAATAAAATGAAAAACATATATTTAAAAAGACTTTGTTTCCTCTTGGTGTTCCTTGATAACTTAATGTCTGTGTTCTTAGCTGAGATAATGTCACTATTGATGGGATAGTGGTTTCTGCTATGTATTGCATTTTTGTGCCCAAATACATAGTTCTCATAATAAAAATGTTGGTTTTCTATATTATTGGTGGTTCAGTGTCCTTCAGTGGCCCTATTAGGTGAATACGGTGACAGTTGTCATGTAGTCACTCATTAGGTCAGTTAAGCGAAAAGAAAAGGTTCTCTGACTCCAGTTGTTTTTCTTCCCTCTCCAAGGGTTTGCTTTCTGATCAGCTCACCTGCCTACCTCCAAATGTTAATATATGCAGGAATTTAATTTATGAAAAAGATGGCCTTTAAAGTCAGTGATGGAGACAAGCCAAATAGAGACAGACTCATAGATAGAGGACGGTCAGACAGCTCTGGGGGGATGGAGGGGTTGAGCTAAAAGAAAAAAGAACTCATGGACATGGACAACAGTGGTGATTGTGGGGGATGAGGAGGGTGCGTGGATGTGGAAGAGGGGATAAATGGTGATGAAAAAAATAAAATCAGTGGTGGACAAATGGGTAATTGAACACAGGGTGTTGAATCCATAGTCACACCTTATATCAGGAGAGTTACAAAGGATGAGAGATTTAAATATTTTAAAAAGTACAGGAAATCATGGAGGAGTTTTAATGTTTTGACTTTTAAATAATCATAGAGTCAGAAACATGACAAAAATCCAGGAACCATAAATGAAATTTTTGAAATATTTAAAATTCCTGCATGGCAGAATCTTTCATGGATATGACAATGTGCAGGAAAGAAGGAAGAGAATTTTTCACTGTGTACCTTTTTGTATTTTTAAACATTTCATATCATGTGATTAGGAAGCAATTAGTTTTTTGAAAATTATCTAAATGACCTTCAAAATTTAGCTGGTTTGGCTCAGTGGATAGAGCATTGGCCTGTGGACTGAAGGGTCCTGGGTTCAATTCTGGTCAAGAGCACATGCCCGGTTGTGGGCTCAATTCCCAGTAGGGGGCGTGCAGGAGGCAGCTGATTAATGATTCTCATCATTGATGTTTCTATCTCCCTCTCCCTTCTCTCTGGAATCAACAAAAATATATATATATTTAAAAATTTCTTCTTTTCCACAAATATGTGGCTAAATATAATACAAAAAAATTGCATTTTCATTTTTTGAAACTGTCCATATTCTTTAGCCATTTAGGTATCATGGTTTGGTCTTTTAATTTATAGGAGTTCCTTAGATAATAGCTAAATTAATCTTTTAGTCTACCAGACTGTATTCAGGATCCCAAACTTTCTTCGAGGCCCATTTGTGCCCTTCCTTGTCAGACCTACTTCTAGCAAGAACTGTATAACCAGGTAATATGTAGTGAATACTGAATTACCTTCTGGGGGAAACAAAGTCAGTAATTTCTGGCCAGACAATTCATATACGCAAATGAAGTTCCGTAGGGTTCAAAGATTCAAACATAACAGATGAAATAATAAGTATATTAGAAAAGCCACTGGGAGAATTTTGAATCTTAAAGAAGTGGCATTATGAGTAATAGGTATGTTTAAGTAATATACTGTAGGTCTAAAAGGTTTCAAAAATAAGAAGACAGATAAAACCAAACAAACAAAACTGAAAAAGGGAGAACCAAGATGGCGACATAAGGTATAAACCTGTACGTGCTGCCCCCCACAACCACATTAAAACTACAACTAAAAGACAAAACAGCTATCATCCAGAACCACGGGAAAGCTGGCCGAGTGGAAATTCTACAACTAGAAGGAAAGAAAAAAGCACATTGAGACCGGGTAGGAGGTGCAAAGGCACCAAGAGCAGAGGTATGGAGGCACATGCAAATGCGGGCTGCAACTGGGTGCGCAGTTTTTTTTCAATCAGAAGGGGATACAAGCTCCTGAATGCACTGAACTCGTTTAAGGCGAGACTCTGGGGACCCAGACTCCTACGAGGAGAAACTGGACTGTCTTGCAGCGGGTTGGAAAGTGAGGGTGGCTTTCTCGCAGAGCTGCTTGCAGGGATCATTGTTACTGTGGGGGAGCGGGACTCGGGGGATGCGGAGATGCTAGGAGTCGTGGAGACAGCTGACGACAGCCATTGCTGTTTGCTCTGCCCTGGTGATTCTCTGAGACCCCGCCCCACTCAAGTTACATCCCCATCCAAGCTGTGCGCAGCAGGGCAAAGGAACCGCCTGCCCTTTTGCATCCTAACCTAACAAACTGCAGCTGCGTCAGAGAGCTCCAAAACTTCCGAACTCCAAACAAAGAGGAGAAATCTGCTGATATCGCTGTAGCTCCTGCTGGGTGGACTCACACAGTGGTTGACTTGGAGATCCAGGAGCCAGGGTACCCAGTGGTCAGATACCAGATTTCAACTCCTCATATCCATAAGGGACACAATCAAGAGGCAGACTCAGTGAGCACCAAAGCCCCACTGAAGCAAGTTCTCCATAAGGGTGTCTCCAGCACAGCAGTTCTTCCACTATAGACACAGCGGGTCCTCGCAGTCAGCCAAAATGCAGAGACAAAGAAACATGTCACAAATGAAAGAAATGGAGGAAAGCAAACTACTGGACATAGAGTTCAAAACCACAGTTATAAGGTTACTCAAGAATCTTCTACAAACCTCCGAGGAACTTAGTGAGACCTTCAAAGATCTTAATGAGAATGCCAAAAAAATGGAAAAGGACCAGTCAGAAATTAAGCATACACTGACTGAAATTAAGAATAATATACAGAGATCCAACAGCAGACTAGGAGATCCCAAGAATCAAGTCAAAGATTTGAAATACAAGAAAGCAAAAAACACCCATCCTGAAAAGCAAAATGAAAAAAGAATCCAAAAATATGAAGATAGTGTAAGGAGCCTCTGGGACAATTTCAAACGTACCAACATCCAAATTATGGAGGTGCCAGAAGAAGAGAGAGAGCAAGATACTGAAAGCCTATAAGAAGATATCATGACAGAAAACTTCCCCTACCTGATGAAAGAAATAGAATTACAAGTCCAGGAAGTAAAAGAGAACCCCAAATAAGAGGAATCCAAAGAGGACCACACCAAGACACATCATAATTAAAATGCCAAGGGCTAAAGACAAAGAGAGAATCTTAAAAGCAGCAAGAGAAAAACAGTTAGTTACCTACAAGGGAGTACCCATACAACTGTCAGCTGTTTCTCAACAGAAACCATGCAGGCCAGAACGGAGTGGCAAGAAATATTCAAAGTGATGAATGCCAAGAACCTACAACCAAGATTACTCTACCCAGCAAAGCTATCATGTAGAATTGAAGGTCAGATAAAGAGCTTCACAGATAAGAAAAAGCTAAAGGAGTTCATCACCACCAAACCAAGATTATATGAAATGCTAAAGGATATTCTTTAAGAAGAGGAAGAAGAAAAAGATAAAGATAAAAATTATGAACAACAAAGTGACAACAAATAAATATCAACAAGTGAATCTAAAAAGTCAGAATAAACTGGTGAATATAATAGAAACAGGGGCATAGAAAGGGAGTGGACTGACAATTCTCGGGGGGAGGGGTTGTGAGGGGTGCGGGAAGAGATTGGACAAAAATCTTACACCTATGGATGAGGACAGTGGCAGAGGGTAAGGGCATGGGGTGGGGTGGGAACCAGGTGGAGGGGAGCTATGGGGGAAAAAAAGAGGAACATCTGTAATAATCTGAACAATAAAGATTTAAATAAATAAATAAAATAAAATAAAAAAGCAATGCACATACCTTAATTTAAAAAAAAACATACAAGTACTTTGCATAAAAATAAGACATCAAATTTAAGGACGGGGGTCCACAGAGCAGGGTTAGTTTAATTGCTACTGGTTTTCACAAGATAAAATGGTCAGAGTGTTTCTTGCTCTTATCTGGTTTTGATCACAGATTTTTTTTTCTTCCCAGCCCATTGAGATAAATTGGCAACCAATTTTCACTCAGCTTTCCAGCTTCTCTATCCCATGCCATTTATGACTTAGCACATTCCTCATGGGGGAAGACCCTGCTCAGCTCCTAGAGTTTCCCTTCTCTCTGGAATCTTGGATCCTCAAAGTCTAGCTGCCTGGCAGTTCTCTGATGCCTTCAAACAGAATTTTCTTTTTTCATTTTTCTAGCTTTTCTAGTTGTTATCAGCAAAAGGATTAATGCACCACATGCATTAATTACCACTTTAGTTTACATTCTTTCATAGGAAGCAAAAGTCATTAACAACCATGCTGTCAATCAGACAACTATATGACAAAAGCCCAAGCGACCATTACGGTGGAATGACCATAACGACCAGTTGCTATGGTGTGCACTGACCACCAGTTGGCAGACACTCAATGCTGCCCACTGGTGATCAGTGCGCTCCCACAGGGGGAGCATCACTCAGCCAGAAGCCGGGCTCATCGGGCCTAGGCTGGCAGGCAGATATCCCCCAAGGGGTCCTGGACTACGAGAGGGCCCCTCCAGTGCACGAATTTCGTATGGCATTCTGCTCAAAAGAACAGCTTGTTGTGTACCTGAGTTGAGTGGAAATTCTTCCACTAACAGGGCTTTACCTTTAAGCCTGGGTTCAGATTTATTTTATTTATCATGTCAAGTAAGCCTTTCTGTTCTGATTTTATTGAGTTTTTTTAAACTAATAAATAATAGATGGTGAATTTTTCAAATGCCTTTTCAGCATCTATGAAGATGCAGCAAAATAAAATAAAAATGAATGAGGTTGTGGTTGCTACCTCTGAGGCATGCCTGCAGTTCATCCATTCATTCAATACATATTTCTGAGCATTTACTGTGTGCCAGACATTCTGCTGAGCACTAGGATAGACAACGCTGGGCCCAAAGCGAGGTGATTCCCAGCACTCATGAAGCTTATAGCCAGAAAGATCCAGATCCAATTAACTACCTAAAGTCTGTTTTTTTTTGTGCCAACAAACACAGAAAAGAGGTATTACCTCCCACTCCCCCACCCTAATCCCAAACAAACTCAGTAATCTGATCCAGCAACTCATTCCTGTGACACCAAATCACTTACCTGGGTCTTGTTTGAAGGGGATGGGGCATTTACATATATAATTTTAGCCACCAGAGGGCAGTCATCTTTTAAAAATACTTTCAAAGGGGAAG